ACATCACTATGTTAGTATTAATTTGGGGGCAAAATGTATTTGAAAGACAACGGCTGAGAAAGAATTGCAGGGGTTTTTTTCCATTTTAGCCTAGGTGTTTGGTTTTTTTTAATTTAATATATATGACATTGCTCTTTTTCCCTTGTTGAACTAGAGATGTCTAATATGGAAACAATAGAATCATAGAATTATCTAGGTTGGAAGGGACCTTGAAGATCATAAAGTCCAACCATCAACCTAACACTGCCAAAACCACCCATCAACCATGTCCCTAAGCACCATGTCTACCTGTCTTCTAAATAGTTCCTGGGATGGCGACTCCACCACTTCCCTGGGCAGCCTGTTCCAATGCTTAACAACCCTTTCTGGGAAGAAATTTTTCCTAATGTCCATCCTAAACCTCCGCTGGTGTAACTTGAGGCCATTTCCTCTTGTGCTGTCTCTTGTTACTTGGGAGAAGAGGTCAGCCCCCACCTCTCTACAACCTCCTTTCAGGTAGCTGTAGAGAGCAGTAAGCTCTCCCTGAGCCTCCTTTTCTCCAGGCTAAACAACCCCAGTTCCCTCAGCCGCTCCTCAAAAGAGTTGTTCTGCAGATCCTTCCCCAGCTTTGTTGCCCTTCTTTGGACATGCTTCAGCACCTCAATGTCTGTCTTGTAGTGAGGAGCCTAAAACTGAAGACTGTATTTGATGTGGGGCCTCACCAGTGCCAAGTACAGGGGAACGATCATTTCCCTGCTCCTGCTCACCACACTATTCCTGATGCAGGCCAGGATGGTACTGGCCTTCTTGGCCACCTGAGCACACTGCTGGCTCATATTCAGCAGTCTGTCGAGCAACACCTCCAGGTCCTTTTGTGCCAGGCAGCTTTCCAGCCACTCTTCCCCAAGCCTGTAGCACTGCACGGGGTTGTTGTGACCCAAGTGCAGGACCTGGCACTTGGCCTTGTTGAACTTCATACCACCGGCCTCGGCCCATCAATCCTGCCTGTCCAGATCCCTCTGTAGAGCCCTCCTACCCTCAGGCAGGTCGACACTCCCACCTAACTTAGTGTTGTCTGCAAACTTACTGAGAGTGCACTCGATCCCCTTGTCCATGTTGTTGATAAAGACATTAAAGAGAACAGGCCCCAGTACTGAGCCCTGGAGAGCACCATTTGTGACTGGATGTCAACTGGATTTAACTCCATTCCCTGGCACTTTTTGGGCCCAGCCATCCAGCCAATTTTTTACCCAGTGAAGAGTACACCCATCCAAGCCACAAGCAGCCAGTTTCTCCAGGAGAATGCTGTGGGAAACCATGTTGAAGGCTTTACGGAAGTCCATATAAACAACATCTACAGCTTTTCCCTCATCCACTAAGCAGGTCACCTTGTTGTAGAAAGAGATCAGGTTTGTCAAGCAGAACCTGCCTTTCATAAACCCATGCTGACTGGGCATGATCACCTGGTTGTCCTGCATGTGTCCTGTAATGATACTCAGGATGATCTGTTCCATAACCTTCCCAGTCACTGAGGTCAGATTAACAGGCCTGTAGTTCCCCAGATCTTCCTCTGGCCCTTCTTGTGGATGGGCATTACATTTGCCAACCTCCAGTCAACTGGGACCTCCCTGGTTAGCCAGGACTGCTAAGTGATGGAAAGTGGCTTGGTGAGCACTTCCGCCAGCTCCCTCGGGACCCTTTGGTGGATCCCATCCGACCCCATAGACTTGTGTATGCCTAGGTGCTGGAGCAGGTCATTCACCATTTCCCCATGGATTATGGTGACTTCATTTTGCTCCCTGCCCCTGCCTGCTAGCACAGGGGTCTGGGAGTAACATTAAGTACCTCAGCCTTTTCCTCATCCTTGGTCACTATGTTTCTGCCCCATCTACCAAAGGACAGATATTATCCTTAGTCTCCTTTCATTGTTAATATGTTTATAGAAACTTTTTTGTTGCCCTTAACTGCAGTAGCCAGGTTAAGTTCTAGTTGGGCTTTGGCCCTTCTAATTTTCTTGCTACGTAGCCTCACTACATCTTCGTAGTTCTCATGAGTGGCCTGCCTTTTCTTCCAAAGCCCATAAATTTTCCTTTTTTCCCCTGAGTTGCAACCACAATAGTAATATACTCAAACTGGATCAGGCCACTGTGACACAGGACCTCTGTGCTTGACTTACGTGTTACTTGCAGGGCAGGTACATGCACACAAAAGAGAGTCAAAATAGGGTGACTTCATCCAGTGTTCCTGATAAATGTCTGTGTACAAACGTCTGAATGTCTACAGCTTCTTTGTCTTTCCTTCTGCAAACATCTGAAGATACATCCTAAAACTATTTTTCTGCCTTTGAGTCTCTTACCCTTTACTTGTGTTCCAGCAGTCTCAAATGAACCTCGAACAGCATCTTTGTATTGTGAAAACATGTATATCTTTTCAACTGTTAAAATACAGTTGTTATGGTTATGAAAAATAGGAAATATATGAAAGCAAAGGAGGTTTATAAAGGAAGTTCTTGTAGTTCTGAAGTTCTGACCTTCTGAAGTGAATTCTACCCTGGTTTTGCTCTCTGCAGTAGTTTTGTTGCCCTGAGATGTAATAATAAAACTCATGCTACAATATAAATGCTTTAATGTTTGCATAGTTAACAAATAATTACTTATGATCTGTGTGACTTTTTTTTAAAAAAAAAAATAAAAAAGCTACTTACACAGCTTCTTTACAAAAGTAAAGTTTGTTAGGTTTGCCAGTTCTTTCTAGTAATTGTTGACACCTGAAGTATCTTAACAACTTTGAAAAGCCTAGTTGTCCCTTCTAAGCATAGTGGAGTCTAACTGCATATGGAAACTGTGTTTAAGGAAAAAGAAAATTAAATTTTGGTTAAGTTTAAAAAAAAAACACCTGAGAAAATATGTATATGTTTTCTTTCTTTCTTTCTTTCTTTTGTCTTAGTAAACCACTCTACAAAACCAGACGCGCTTGTTTCAGCAGTGACATCAGCAAAGGATGCTGAAGAAATAAAAAATGTTACATGTATAGAAGAACAAAGCAATGGTCTCAAGAAAGCTGCAAAGGACACTTGTACTGCAAATGGAAGTATTTCTGTAAGCAGTGAAACGTCTGACTGGGATATGAACTCTCGTGATAAAGTTAATGCCCAGGACTCCTTAAATGATAACACTGATCACAAAATGGACAGTGAGGTCACTTATGGTTTGACAAATACAAAAGAATCTCAGACTTTTTCAGAACAAGTTGATAAAACAGTGATAGAGAAGCAGCAAACCCAAGACAAGACAACAAATGATTTGGACTTTGAACTATCTAGTGACAGTGAAAGTGACGGTGGATTGGATACCAGAAAGTCATCTACTTCTGTATCAGATAGTGAGAACGAGGAAAAAAGGAGCTGGAAGAAATCCAAACAACCTCTGCAGGATGAGAATTTGCAGAAAGGGAGTTGCACTGATGTGAGTGAAAAAAAGGATGGTCTGGTGAACCATTCTGGGGACACGCAATCTCTACCTAGTGAAAATATTCATGACAAAACTGATCTTGAAGCACAAGAAGAAAGTGAACAGGAAAGCCTTTGTGATTTAGGAAATGGGTGTGCAGACAAGAAAGAAGCTGAAACAGAGTCTCAGAATAGTGAACAATCTGGAATTACAATGGGTGAGTCCTTAGACCAGAGTATGGAGGAAGAAGAGGAGGAGGATGATACAGATGACGACGACCATTTAATATACCTCGAAGAGATCCTTGTGCGGGTTCACACTGACTATTACACAAAGTATGATAAATACCTGAAAAAAGAGATTGAGGAAATTCCTGACATCAGAAAAATAGTACCAGAACTGAAAAGTAAAGTGTTGGCAGATGTAACCATAATATTTAGTGGACTCTACCCAACAAACTTCCCTATTGAGAAAACACGGGAACACTATCATGCCACAGCACTTGGAGCTAAAATTGTGAAGAATCTAGTACTGAGTGCTGATGATCCTGACAAAGCAACGCATCTCATTGCAGCAAGGACAGGTAGGTAAATGAGACTTGAGTTTTTCATCAGCCTTTTTCCTGTTACGTTTGTTCATGCCTTGAGCTGTCTTTTGTATAACATACAGGCTTAATGTAACTGAGGTTAGAATTTAAATTAATGGGAAGATTCTTCGTAACATAACTTACAGACTTTAAAAAGGCTTTTTTACTGCTTTTTGATCAAGTGTGGCTTTTTAGTGTTAAAAGGAGGGCCTGCTAAATAACCTCTAATGGAATATGCCATGTCTCACTTCTTGGTTAAGAGTTGATGGTACGATGTCCAACGTTTGTGTTGAAGAAAAGTTTGTAGCGATCTTGTTATAAAGTTACAGCAATGCTTGCTTTCTTGGTTTCTCATATTTCATCTCACATGGTTCAGTTTTTCACTTTGTAGGGAATTCAAATGAATTATCTTGAGACTGGAATCTGATGATACTCTGTCACTACTGACTGCGTAGCCTGTATATCTTTGTCACGGGAGATGTAAGAGAGCTTAGCCTAACTTTTGATACGTATTTCACAAAGCTACCTGGTTTTACATATCTATAATGTACCATTGCTTAGCTGCCACAGAGGAGATAACAGGCCACCACTAGCTTCTAGTACAAGTTTTTTGTGTGCACCCTGACTCTTGGTTACCTCATTGTTCGCCTTTTGAAGTTGCAATAAAATTTCTGATAATCAAAACCATGAAATCCAAAAGTAAAACTGCATGTTTTAGATCATCTGAAACTTTTTAGGTAGCTTTAGGGCATCTTTAAATATCATAAGCAAAGAAATACACATCTGCCACCTATTGGATTTTTTTTTCTTGACTGCTGTTCATGTAAGCTTTCAGACATCAGAAGCATCTTTGTTTCGTCAGCTTGTATTATACAAGAATGGAGTATATTTTCACTGGATGGAATATAGATGTGTGGTTTTTTAAGTGTGTCACTTAAGAAGTATCTTGTTCCATTTCTTACATAGCTGATTAGGAATCACCTCTTCCTGTTGAGGAGGCAGTGATTAAAAAAAACCTCCAGTGTTTAGTGACTAAAAGGAGACTGTTTTAGTTCCTTAATTTCTACCCCTCTATTAGGAGTAGTGTTAAAAATCTATGGATTAAAACCAGCCAATTTATCAGTCTATTATGATATGCTAATCAGCTAATTTTTTATATATATGTTAGCCTAAATAACAATAAGGCTGTATATTTGCTAGGCTAGTGTAAACTTGCCTCACTTTCCAGTTATCTCAATGTATAGTTCTAGTGACAAAAAGCACCCGTAGCTTTTATTAAAAAGTTGGTAAGGCCAACTGTAGCAAGAAGGGGCTACAGTATTGACCTAGTCCAGTAGCATCAGAATAAAACCTCTACCAATGGACCTGCAGTGAAGTAGCAAGTTTGTATTATTTGTCCTGATGTAGATAGGCATTTAAGTAGTAAAAACAACCTCAAACCCAGAAGAGGCTGGGATTAGTTTCATCAGATTAACTTGCATTCTGATTTGTGAAAGTGTGACAGTTGAAACAGTGGATGCGAAGTGTTAAAATCAGTGGATACATCAGTTTGGGACTCTGTAGTTTTACTACAGTTGCTGAATAGCTCTTTTTAAAACTGCAAAAATAGCAGTACTCTTATCAGCAAAGAAATGCGCAAGTTTGTCATACTTCATTGGAGACATAATAGCTGTCAAAGTTATCTCCACGTTTTTCCAACTTCATATCTTAAAATGCTTCATTTCAGAGTTGCTTTGTCTAGCTTGCACTAGATGGCTTCTGAATTTCCTTGTGTATTGGATGCAATTATTGTGTGATGTGGTAAAATTCATAGGATAAAGGTAAATGGGACAGCCCCGCCCCCAACATCCACATTTCTCTAGAGGAAAAAATATTGAATAACATTATGTTAAGGTATACAGCATGTGATAATGAGAAGCAGTTGAGGCTTTTTTCCTTTTTTGGTTTTTTTGAATGTACAGTTTGAGTGGGGTTTGTATGTTTATATAAACACACATACTCATCCTTGTGTTTTACTTTTATGAGCAAATTATTCACTACCTGCACATTCTTAGTGAATCAGCCACTAGTGTTGATCTTAATTTTAACTATTAACTACTTTAACTTTGTTTTTATTACATTAATGTGCTTGTACAGTACTTGAATTGAGTTTATTTTAAAATTAATTTTCAGTGCTCTTTTGAAAAATAGATAGATTTCAGGGTGGTCCGTATTTTTCAGACTTTTTGCTATGACCTAGACTCTCCTTGAAAATAGTCATGTAATGTTGGTGTTGCACTTGGTACTTAAAATATATTCAAATATTTCCTGCTAATTAAAACAAGAAATCACAAGAATACTATTCCTGAATTGCTAGGGTGAAAAATATTTATTGTCAGCGAGTAGAAGCTGACCGCTGCTTTCAGTAAGGAAAGAATTACACTATCTAATTCTAAAAGAGCTAACTTGGTAGTCTTTTCTGCCTAATGAGCAAGCTATTGTCATCTTTTATCATCGGTTAGTAATTATTTCTGTAACAACGTCAGTGAAATAGGGGGATTTCGAGTGAAAAAAACTGTGTTCTCCCATAACCCTTTTTTTGGTAAGATTCTCATGGATTGCTTGTGGTGGTGTTTTGTGATGGGTTTTTGGTTTTTTCAACTGAAGACTGTATTTTCTCACCTCTGGTTAGAGGGGAGTAATTATGTTGCGTCACCCTAATTTCATGAGGGAAACTCTGAAGTTTAATCAGAGTTTTTAAGGATATAAATTGTGTCCTGTCACAGCTGGATTTGTGATAATTCACGTGTCAGCGTGATTTTCATACTGATTGTCATGTGGTTAGAAAGCAAATTCTACAAGTCTCTATTACTGCTGGTAAGCCATACAAATACTGCATCTCTGGCTCCCATGGCAAGCATCTGAAGCCCTGCTTGATGTCTAATTGCTGGTGAAAAAGGGAAACAAAAGTGCATAACTTTTTGAGTTTTATTCAAAAGTTGATGACCAGACAATGTTGTTGTGCTTCTCTTTTTTTCTTTGTCTCTTTTTTTTTTAATGTAGATGTGAAAAGGTGATTTTAAAAAGTACCTGTCAATTTAGTATTTCTGGATGACCACACTAAAACCAGCATACTTGGGACTAACACAAGCAAGTTAACTTTGCATTAAGTGAGCTGTAGTAAATGGTATATACTTAATCTACAGCCGTGTTGGGTAAATACTGTTAGGTTTTGAATTTTGAAGACAGAGAGAAAAATTGTCAGAGGAAATAAAAAGGGAAGAAGTCAGTGTGAAACAGAGTACCCTCTAGGTCTTGGAGGGATGGGATTTCCCCCTGCAAAGTGACCACATCATAGCTTGGTCTATGGGATAAACAGCTAGGGAATACTATTGTAGATTGTATTTACAGCATTCTTGCCAGCCCATTGTAGCAAATAATTTAAATTTCTTTTATCCTTTTTATATACTTGTCTTTTCTCTGCAGATAGGCAGCTTGTTTCTCTGCAGACAGAGATACTCTGAATTCTGAAAATAAACAAATCCTTATTCTTGGAGAAAATCAGGATTTTTTCATTATATAGGGAGGAAAATACAAGAATCTTGTATCATCTCATCAGCTTTATAAATCTGTGTGACTGAGAAAAGGCTACCCAATAGTCCTTACCTATGGGCTGCATAAATCTTACTTCAGTTTTTGAAACATCTGCTGTTTGCTTTAAGCAATGGTAAACTGCATTGGCTGATGAGTTGTTACAGCTCTGTACACACTTGGCTAAGCAGTTACCACACTATTTTATAAACCTTGTTATGTTCCTTTCTGAACAAATGAATGATACCATAGTTGATTTTTGTATTGAGTTTTTTGAAGATAAATCTGTTAAAAGGTCAGTTAAAAATTATTCTAGTGGGGTAGGAGTGGAAATGTGTCAGTTTAGGCCCTGAATTTTTCTTTTCTTTTCTTTTTCAAAATATATCTAATTCTGTGTCTTTTTCTATACTTTGAAAGCTATACGGGAATAATTTCCTTACTTTTGGTGACTTAGCCCATGCCAAGTTTTGCTTAATATCTTTAAATATCAAGTTGCTTAAAATACAAATTATACTATGAACTATGGCTCCTCTTATTCATCTCATCTACCTACTTAAAAAATGCTTGTTCCTGAGTCTGGGTCTGAGGCACTGGAAGAGTGCCTTAGCTGTCACCGCTGGACAGTCACCTGTCCTGTGACTTGGTGTGAGGTCTTCACCAGACACAGCTATGATGTTTCCACGGATCGTTTTTTTTTGTTGGGTTTGTTTTTTGGGTTTTTTTGTTTTGTTTTTGTGGTTTTTTTCTCCCTGAAGAATGCTTTCATAGGCCATGTCTTTAAAAAAAATCCAGTTAAGCACTGCTCTAAACTCAGGCACTGACCAGGTAAGCCTGTTGCTTTTGCTGGTAAAGCACAGTGAGCATTAAAGCTGAACTCTAGATGTAGCCTACGAACAGCACATCTATCACTATTTCATGGTCAATTAATTCTTGTAGGACAAAACACTAAGGTCTTTACAACTTGTCTTAGGTTAACATTGTTGAAGAGCTTCAGGATTTGATCATAAATCAAGATTTATATATAAAAATGGTCTGAAGAGTAATAAACTTCTAGTGATCAGATTTTCCAAGCAGCGTTTAGCAACCTGGTTACAAACTGTCATGAGGTTATGTTGACTTTGGTGTGTTGAAATCAGGAGAGTATTTTGAGGGTGACTCTGGTGGTCACTCCCCCCCATTGAGTACTTTGGTTTATCCTGGCACAGCCTCGAGCACGCACGCTGAGTTCCTCATGGGTGAGATTGAATTGGAGGGCGCAGTCAGCTGAGTGCTCACGGGCGTTCGGTCCACAGGACTGGACAGAGCTAATCTAAAGCAAAAATCTCTGAAATGCATATGGGAGTGGGTGTCGCTCCTCCAGCACCATTTTGCCCTGCAGATCTCCCTGTTGGGCTGCACTGCTTGGTAATGTGAGCGTAGCCAAATATGCAGTATAGCTTTTCTTCTTAGTCCTTGTAAATACTCAGCTTAGGTCTCATTTATCGATGTTGCTTAAGTGCCTAGTGTGCTTCATACTTTGGATAAGACAAAATAAACTGCTGTAGTAAAACTGTATATCCTGGAGAACAGCTGTAGAAGTTTATTGTTGCACTACTGATTTTGGTCACTTCTTTAGTAATGAATTGTCAAGGTTAATAGGATGCTTTTTGTGTTTTCAACCTTTGTTTGCATGTTCGAAAGTAGAATTGATGAGTCCCTTCCCCAGGTTTGAAATAACCTTCTCCTAATATTATGTGCTTCAGGCTGCACCTATCTGAGTTTAGACCTTGGCTGCTTCACGTAGAAAGGCTTGTGTGCCTCTGCCTTTTTGGAACAATTTTAGGCTAGAATTTGAAGTAGGAAAATTATAGGAGAACAATGGAGAAAAAAAAAAGTAGTCCAGAAAAATATTTTTTTCTCTTAAGTGATTTTTAGCCTGGCTGGATGATTCAGTTGTTCCTAACTGCATCAGAAGTACTATTGCTTGGATGGATTAAGATCCTTTCTGCTGTTTTTTCTTAATAAGCATACTTCCAAAAGGGGAAGTTACACTGGGGAAAGGGTGAGAAGACAAGGGTATTAAGTGTTGCAGTACTATTTCTCCCACCCGGTTAAATTTGGTGTTCTACCAAATCTTGCTCTAAGAACATCATAACTGTGAAGTCTTGATTTGTGAAGAAGTTAGCTAGAAATAGAAGACAGACCCTGAGACAACACAATTGTATTACCTCATGTGATTTTCAGTACGCTGGCGCGTGCAATAGGCAGCTCCAGTTTAGACACGGGCAGGAATCAGAACGCCTTGGTGTTGCGGAGGCGAGAAGGGTGAGGCTTTTGACCCTTGGGAGGGGGGTTTGGTTACACACTGGTCTTCATGTCGCCAACTTTAATGTTATGTTAATGGCTTATACCTTTTGGAGCTATTGTTTCAGAACCATAAAAGTTTCGTACAAAATAGTGCCATTTTGACTTTTATGTTTAAGGCTTCTGTTGCAATCCTGTTGACTAGAAGAAGAATTTATTTAGCTCCTCAGTGTGCATCTGGTATGAAATGATCAGATATGCTTGAATGCAGAACGTGTATCTGTGTGGAACGGGCAGCCTGATGAAGCACCTGACAAATCATCAATGCAGAAACACTGGTTTTAAAAATAGTTGGAGGAAGCCATCTTCTCACACAACTTCACATATTTAACATGAGATGAATCTGCAGTTTTATGGTTTTGTTCAGGTTCCCCCTGATGAAGTCCAAAAGGAGCAGTGATACCTTTAATCAGGCAAATGGATGTACTATGGTATCAGATAAGCTTTTCTTCAGGGTTATAAGCATAGTCTGTCCATCTAATAGCACCAGCAACTCTGGTTAACTGTTCTGTACGCTTACTAGTGTAATCCCATGCTGTTGTATATTGTATTCAATCAGCTCCAGAGTTATGTGCAGGGTAGTATTGCTAGTCATGTCTTGATACTTGATTCAGTATCTACTACCAGGCACAAGTACCTAAACTTCCACTGGACTTCTTGCTCTTGTTGCTTTTTTCCCTGAAACTCGTATGCTTATGAGCCGGATTTCAGCATCCTCTTTATAACAGCTGTCTTCTTACCTCTCTGTTCTATTACATTGTCATAGCTTTTCTCCTGTGTTCTCAAAAGAAAGCATTTTCCAAGCCAAGCCTCTCACTCTTTTTTTAATCCATCATCCCCCCCACCCCGCCCCGATCTCTTAATTTGATTCGCTTTCAGAGCCTCTGCTTTCTTTCCTCTGAAACATACCCTGTGTATAAATTAAATATAGCTTTATACTTACCAGTTTCTAGCTGTAGGTATTTCTACAATTCCTACTGAGGTTATATAAATAAAAATAATAATACCCCATGGAAGCTCCCTCTGGCAATGTAAACTGGCTCATTTCCAGCAACTGTTGCATGGAAGTGCTCTGGGTCACGGATTGCCTTTGTAACTGATGATTAATTGGAAAACGGATTTCTTGTGTCAGGATGAATGATCTGGGTGCACTGACCTCCCTTCTTAAAGAGTTTTGCTTTTTAGACAGTTAAACCTCTTGAACAGCAAAGGTGTGCTAGGATTAACGTGGTTGTGGTTCTACAGTTGTTTTCATTGAGTGTTGTTGGACAGTGTTTTTTTAAATTATGGCATTTCTAAATCGGTTGTGGTTTGGAAAGGGCTTTATCTTTAAATGCTCGTGTTTGTGTTTATCTTGGATTCTTAATTCAACACTTTTTTATTGCAAAGATACTAGTGTGGAGAAAAGCTTGACATTTATGGTACAGCTTTTGAATCCTGAACTGTGGAATTGCTTCCATTTGCTGCTGAGAAGAAATGTATTTGTGCACAGAAGAGCTTTTTTTTTTTTTTTAGACTAAATAAAAAAAGTATTTGTGCCTAAAGATATTGGAAAAGGTAGCTCTACTGCTGTATTCTGTTGAGTTTGGGGGAACAAAAGTGGGAAAACAGAGGCTTTCACCACTTTGGTAAAGGACAATGATCTCCTGCCCTTTCTGTTTATTTAGTCTTTTGAATTTACAGAAGTCTAGAAACTGAACTGTCTAACTAGTTGGGTCAATCCTCAAGAGCATTTCAGCTGATCTGTCTATCCCAGTATTTTCTAGTTCAGGTTGTACACAGGCCTTTAAGTATTTGCTGTTACCTATTTGCTCTCATCTTCAAATGTTGTGGTGAAGTATGGGTATTTCAAAACTTTCATCTTAATTGTACAGTCACTATGTTAAATGACAGACATGCAGATCAAACTCCAGGGAGCTATGTTGAAACCATCAAATTAATTTACTGTTCTTGCTTTCTTGTCAGAATTGTTCTGAAATTTGTTTGTGGTTTTGTTTTTTTTTTTCCTGGAGGCTTCATTCCTGAAGGCACATGTATGAAAATAGACAAGGGCTCATAAACTCTAACTTTAAATAAATTTTTTAAAAATTAAAAACTTTACTTAGATTTTTTTTTAGTTAACAAGGCTAGACTAGAATGGAGCATTGTCTTTTTATATAGGCATCTACAGGAAGAAACCCCAGGGTCTTTGTGCAGAATTGACAGACTTCAACAGGAGTGGGTAGTATTTGAAGAGATGTATTTTTCACCTTCAGTTCTGAGAGCTTTGCTCTTAACCTAGAGGAGAGGGCTAAGTTGTTAATTGAACTCCTGCCTTTAGTTCATGACGGTATCCTTTTATTTTGCATTTCTAAACAAAAAATGTAGTGCAATATTAAGTGTATTATTCTCTGTTGGTGCAAAGACATTTAACGGACAAATGACTGAGTTTGGTAAGCATTTTAAGTAATGTGTAAATAAGATGAAATGCTATAAATTATAGGAAAAAAACAAAAGGAAA